CTCAACAGTGTGGCAATACATACTTATCAGCACTTTTGGAGCTTACTAAATATTTATTATCTGTATAATTCGATTATAACAAATGTCGTAAACTGACAAATGTGATTTCTTACAACTTTTTCAGGTTTAAACAAATCTACACAAACAATACACAAATTAAATGAATGAGACTAAACATCTTAAAATTAAGACTGTGCACAGACAATTTGACACAACACACACGTCACATGACACTGTTACCTTGCAAAACAATTTCAAATGTATGAGCCCCAGAGCAACATAATGCATTTTGTTACTTTTGAAAATGTCTGTTATGAAATCTATTTTCAATCTATTTCTCCCTGGCATGAATCACAAAAGTGATAATGATCTCAGAACTACTTTGCATGAACTCTATTCCAATCTTGTATAAGATGGACCACTTTGAAGCTTTGTCTACACAACATTTGTAAAACTTCATGCCTACTTTCCATAAGTGAAAAACATATCAGAATTAGGTCACATTCATCTGCAAGTCCCTCCATTGCAATTTTGCTGCGATTGTCACCTAGCACATCAGATTCTCATTTTCCTTTTCATTGCAATAAAAAGTCAAGAGCTACCTGCTAATATTTTGTAGTAGTTGCTGTTAAATGTAATGACTTAAATGTAAAACCATGTAATATCAGTCAGTCATTCGGATATTAAAATCCAAGCTTGGTTTCTACTTTTAAAAAATAAAGTGCCGTTTAATGGATTTTAGTTTTTTTGCTCCTGTGAAATATTGCATGGTTTAAGTTTATTACCCTGTGTGAACCTGCCAAAAACTGAACCAAATGTGTAGAAAAGATTTGTATTTGTGGGTAAAATTTTGAAAATGTAAAAAAACAAACTTATTAACATGAGTGAAAGTCTAAGCAGGTTGTTTCATCTTTCATCCAAGTGGATTCTTCAGTAATAAAATCAAATTTATTTAAACCCTACTGAGGGTTGTGCTACATATGCTAAATACCAATTCTAAGCAGTGTGAAAGTCACAAAAGTCTGTATTAAAAAAAAAAATTAAAAAAAATCATTGACTGTGTCATATGCACTCTAAACAAATCACAGGTATTATGTTTGTGTATATATATATATATATATATATATTCTAATATACACTGTTTCATGTTGATTTCTTGTGTACAGACAGTATGCTATAGAGACTGGTATGCAGCATATGTTATATAACATGAATGAGAACATTGGAGAAGAACATAAACATTGGTTTATCATTGTTCTTAAATTAATGTGTAACTTCAGTGTCATGGCAAAATAAAAGAAGGTAAATTTAAACCATTAATTCCTTTAATATGCAATCTTGAACTTACTCCACATGTTTACAAAGGATGATACAACTCTTTATTCAAAACCTTCAAATTTTACTGGAGTCAAGGAATGTCACTATGTCAAAATGTCATTTCTTTATGTAAAATGACACTAAAATGTCAAAATCATTTGAACTGAAGTTTATTATAAAGAAAAAAAATGCAGTGTTAAATCATCATACATCCCCTTAACAACCTCCACACACTGTCATGAAGCTGCTGATCATTCAGATTGTGGGATCTCTTCAAGTTCAGCCCTACTAAGTTGGTGATTTACCTCACAAGAAATCATAAATAACTGGAATAAGCACTAACATGATACTGAAAGTCCTGGAAAGCTTCGAGCCGCAGTTTGAGAAACACCTGCAGCACTGTAGCCTTGGAAGGCTCTTTTTCTGCCAGTAGGATGAGAAATAAGGGGATCCATTTTTCAGGCACAAAAGGCTTCACAACTGTTAGCTCTCTTCATCATCAGTGTTTTCAGTACATTCATTGTCCAAGTGCATGGACCGCAGCTCCACCTCAAAGTCCATTAATGTGTGGTTATACTCCTCCTCCAACATTTTCTTCCAGATTTTTACTGAGAAAGGGAGACAATATGTAATTATTTTTTACTGTTTCACGATTACTGTTAGAGACACTTTGTTTTTTACTAGACAGAGCAATATCATCGCTATCCAATGTTACAGTTACTTACTGTATTGTGGTTCCTCTGGCTCTGTTACATCCGGGTCAGGCACAGGTTCCTCAGTGTTTGTTTCAAGCTCTGCCTCTTCCTGGTCTCTCTGCTCCAGGCTTGACATCATCCCTTCATAGGCTGCCCTGGCCTCAGAAGACAGCTCGATCATCTTGTGATAATAATCCTGTAGGTACGAAAGTTTTCAGCTCATTTGAAATTACCTAATAATGTCATCTTAAAACAATAATTGTGCGTACATTTGCATAACAATAACCCTGACCTGTGCACCATCATAGTTGAAGATGCCGACCAGGGTGACAGGCACGGCCTTGTTGACACAGCGTCCCAAAGCTTTTCTAGAGAGTGCAAATATGAACGGCACACCCTGCTCACGACATGTATCGATGATTGTGTGGAGAGCCTCATCCAGGCCGCCTGTGAAAGGTGATATTTTTGCCCTTTTCATGCAATTGTAAGCATTCCTTGTACGTCACAGCTCTCCCAGGATCACATTTATGAAAGACTATATGACAATTCTCGCTTTTCCATGTTGCTTGATAAATCAGAAAACAACAAATTGTATTCTCTCCATTTTGTCTTCTCTCTAATTTGTGATTTTTAAGACCAAAAAACATTTCTGAAATGCCAACAGGGAATAGTGTGCTTTTTAAAAGCAATAGCATAAAACTAGGGAAAAAAGGAGATAATGAAGTTCTGAAACTGTAATGGACATGTTTAAAAATATTAAGTGACCATAAAGAATTGGGATGCATACATATAACTCCTGCTGATCATAGCCTAGACTTGAATTTTAAAGTAACAACACAAAGAACATGAAAGTTGGACTGGCCCAAATTTAAAGAAAACGTTCAGAATTCCTAGTTTCCAAACTGAAAGTCAACTATCAGGTCTTATAGTACCTTTGGACTGGATGCGTTCACAGTTAGGTGAGATAATGACACACTTGATCTTCCTGAGTTTGAGGTGCTTGTGGACCTCCCTAAGGCCCATCACGAGTCGCCTCTTCATGCGGGCCTTCATGGGGTCCTTCTGGTACAGGCGGTCCTGGAACCGAACGAGCTCCTTTAGCAGCAACATCACGCACTCATCCACATCTTTGCTCAGCATCTGGCTGCAATAACTGAAATGCAAATGAAAATGGAAACGCGATATACTCAGGGTGCAAGCAACCAACATCAGCTTGTGACTGGTCATGCAGTGAAGCATGCAGCTTTGGCAGTCTTACTCTCTGAATTTTCTGCTGTGGATTTTAGGTGCTGGGTATGACTGAGGTGAGGGGATTTGTTGCTGTATGGTCTCGTTTTTGTCCGTCTCTTCAGCTTCTCCCACGATCTGACATGTGTCATTTAATTCATCAAATCCCTCTGCAGGAGAGCCAACCTCATCTATGGTTTGAAAAGCACAAAATTAAAAATATTAGCTGCAATCATTCGTTTCCAACAGCTCAGAACAAAGCATACTGGCAGCAATAATTTCACTGCATGCTCTGACCTGTGGCGTTTGCATCACACTGCTCTTTTTCTGTACAGTTACTCGCAAGTTTATACTCGCTTTCAGGCAGCAGTCCTCTCTCCTCCAGTAAACGCCTCTGCTTCCTCTCCTCTCTCTCCTTCAAAATGACCTGAGGAACCAAAACATGAGTTCAAGTCTATAAACAGAGCTACACAGCTGAAATGAATTCTCATAAAATTGATTATATTTGTCTTTATTGCATAGTAAATAAATGAACTTTGCCTTCTTCAGAGGAGTTGGTTTCTTTGCTTTGGGCACCTCTCTTTGCTTGCCTTTCTTTACCAAA